TTGAGAGTTTGGKGTTAATATAAAGCAAATTGCACTTTCTCTGATTCTTAATGGCATTTAAATAAACAAAATATGGACAGTTACCTAACAGTTTAGTAACATCGTGAATGCCTTTGGGGATTTAGAAACATCAAGTGCTAAATTAAAGAGATGTTTGTTGAAAAGTAGCCATGCATTGTTGGCATTATGCAATGGCTCAGCTAATGCTTTGTTAACTGCTTTTGCAAGAACAGGAATTATTTCCTGTTTGGATTCTTCCTCCCTGATAGTTTTTAGGGGTCTATTTCTCTTGGTGATGGTGCGAGATTAGTGTTATCGAGTTCTAAACGTAACTTAGAAGTTTAGCGAAACCTATGAATGGCAGTTATAATCCCATGGCTATATCAATAGGGTTGCTGGTCTCAGCCTTAATCGTTGAGGTGAAAGGCACTTTTTCCTCTTTTAGTTAATTAAATGCCATCTTCAAGTGATCCTGCCTTTCAATGGATTGAGCTACTCCAAGAACTTTAAAAGGAAGAGTGTGTAATGCCTGGTTGTCTTCGTTTTGTGAACCAGGAACTTCATAGTCACCATGGCTCAGGAAAGACTCGCCACTCGTGCTACATGCARATTTGTGTGATGGATGATCGACAAATGTTTGCCATTCCCAAACAACTTCATAGCTATGAAAATCTCCAAGTTGGTCGAACGTGCACATCGAACTACAAATCAGCCTACTCCTCTACCCCTCTCATTTAGGAGTCCAAAAGGGACCGTTCACTTTCAGAAAGCGAATTGAGGTACTTGCCATCTTACGTGTTGATCTACTTAATGAAAGAATCTCGATTTCGTTGTTACTTCCCTAAAGATGCAAGAATTAATAAGTGCACGATCTCAAAAACCAAAGGAAAGCCCTGGGGAGCCCCAAAATCACTTAAAAGGAAATTTCGTAAGGTATTTTTATCTGAAATCTGGACTAAAGACATTTAATATTTTAAGTGAAAACAAAGAAAAAGAATMAAATAAATGAATAAAAATAAATAAATTTGTATACAGTAAAGACTAATTTTTTTACATTTCAACGAGACTTGACCMTGCACTTGTTGTTTTTTTGGGGGGGAACTCTGTCACAGGATAGACAGCGAGTACCTTAGCCAATCAGATTTCTTGATATTCGTGATAGTATGCTATTAGGTTCATGAAATATTCAGTCATACTATGTATTGATTATGCTCATTTGGCAGCAAAAGGAAATGCTAAAAACGTCAGTCACAAACAGCATCAGTCTTTCTCAAAACTARACTCGTGGGATGATTACATTTACTACAACAGATTTATTAAACGTCCATCAGTGGACTTTATCAAAAGGGGACTCACCCGCAAAAAGTCAAGCGGCGAACAGAAAACAAACGAACGAAGACTACGAAGTCATATTTCAATCTGAGCCGAATRAATATTTTTTGCATTGGTTATATTCAAAAGCGGGGTGCAAAGTCAGGCAAAGGGTGCGTTMCTCTGCACCACTACCCTAAATACGTCCTCATTTATAAGCCAGGTTTTTTAGAAATATATACCTTTATCTACTATAGTGGAATGTTGGTCATTAGAGAAAGAAGGAATCGTTCCCTTGAAGAATACCTTMAAAAAAAGTGAGGGAAGTATCATAGGCAAAACAGCCGGGGACGATATAACAAGTAGCGTAGTGAAGGGAGCGGCTAGGGGTCGAGTGGCGTGGGTCGTGGGTATTATGGCGTGGGTCGTGGGTATTATGGCGTGGGTCGAGCAAATTATTTTTATTTAAAATTCCATTTAAAAAAACCTTAACACTAATAGCTCATGAAAAACACATACACAGAATAAGCATACATTCTGGATTTGTAGAAGCTGTAACTGAATACCCATATTATGACACTTCAAATATAGGTATGATATAATAATCTAACCAATAATCGGTRCTAACACTACCGAAACTTCATAGTTGCAGACTAGACTTTGTTTTTGCTTTTTTCTTTGAACGTGAGCACTTGAAAGATGATAATACGTGTTTGAAAAGTCAGGACTGTATGTGTATTATTCCCGTACGATCACCTCTTCTTATTTTTCTCCTTTCAAAATGTTTTATGGCGGATGTTCCTTGGTGATTCTCTATAGGCATCGGCAAATGGACACTGTTGGGAAGTTTTACCAGRGTATATTTGTAAGGCGACATACTAGGGTTCCATTTGGCATTAGACTGTGATTGTAAATTTCGTGTTGTGCTACCTTTCGCATAAAGGTTAGAGTTACTGGGTACAACAGATGGAACTTGTGCGTATGAATAGAACTGGTTACCCAAAGGTTTAATGTTTGTTGCATTTGTTGAAAAGTTGAAACTACTATTAGGAAGTGGCGCTTGAYAGGAAGAAGAAGTACAACTGATAGGTTGAAAAAAGGAATATTACTGCTCATGTTAGGAAACATATTAACACCGGCCAGTGGCACTTGAGGATGTGAACCGTTATACAGAGAATGTCGTTTGTGTGGGGGATGGTAGCTGGACTCWGGATCTATTAGGAGAGCATTATTTTGTGCCAATTGTAACATTTCCTGACCACTGCGTCTTGCATTATCAGGTTCTTTGGGCTTTCTCTTGGCGCAAATGCTTTAAAAACTTACACGACGTRCATCCCACCAAACTAACCAGGACGAAAGAAAATGTCTTGTTTTTTCTTTTATAAAGGACTCCTTCTTGCCCTTTGTAGCGTCATAGGTTTCTTTTATTTTCATTTTCAGTTCACATTTTCAAAAAAAAWTTTTTTTATTTAAAAAAATATTTTTATTTATCCTATTTATTTATCTTATCTTATCTTACATGATTTTATCTTATCTTATTTTTCGGAACCCACGACTTTTACCCACGACCCACGACAATTAGTGCAMCTCGACAAATTTGGCTCTTAAATTTATTTTTTTAAATTAGAAATCTTTATATGAAATACAGTATAGTGCAATAATAATCTATTACTAAGAAATGCACAACAACATAACAAGTTTCCGTACATGCGTTAAAAAAATCAGATCAAATTGTTTTTACTACAAATCTATCGTATTGGACTCAAAAAGATCAAAAATACATTTCAAAATTAAGATAATTATATTGTGTTTTTAAAGCAGCTAAGCAGAAAGTTCGTTTTCTATTTTTTCTTCTTTTGGTAGTAGATTTTCCTTTCGATTTCTTTCCACCATATTGCTTTTTATTTAAAGGGTTGAAGGATGCGCAAAACTGTGTTCTTGCATGACTGTAAAAAGAAACAACGGATATTTAACTAATTAGTTCCCTTCACTCTGCTACTATATCGTTGCTATCGAGTTGCGCGGGCGCTGTTGTCATCACTGACATAATATTATCACTGTTTATTGTCATGAGTTTGAATTGCTGGATAGCTTGCGCACCAAGAAGTGACATATGACCTTTTGCAACTACTAAGTATTCTGCCATTAGAATTTCTTCATTCTTGGGATTCAGTGTTTCGACTTTGACTGATCCTAGTGGTGTTAACCCAGTTTATTGAACATTCGCAGCTTAGTGCTTGCTTTCTCTAGTCGAGCGAGCTTTGGATCATTTAATACCTTCTGGTATATATCAACAGGAAGAATGTTTACTGCCGCGCCACAATCTAGTTGGAATTGAACTGGTTGGTCTCTTAAGTGCATTGTTGCGAAGATGTTTTTGTAATTCTTATCGCTTACAGAGCCTACTGATTCCACAAACAGGAAATAGTCATCATTAGATCTTCAATGGCATATACCGGCTCTGCTTTTGACTTGGCTTGGCGCTTTTGCATACCGCAGAGCCCGAAAAGTGATAACTGGCCGCATTCTTTGCATGTTTTCTGCCAAGCAGGGCACAATTCCTTTTTCTTTGGGTGGCTTTTGCAGCAGAATTTGCAGTTGATCATTACAGGCTGACCCTTTTCTGGGCGCTGTGGGCGGCGAGGGGTTATCGCGTTTACATCTTCGCCCTGGCTCATTTCATTCAACTGTTTGGCTGTAGTTTCATTAGCGCGGCATATGTTGATGCACTTATCTAAGGTTAGTTTGCTTTCGGCGAGCAGTTTCTTGCGAATACCATTGTCCCGAATCCCAATAACTATCCTATCGCGTATTAGTTATCCCGGAGTTCTCCGAAGTTACAAGTTTTGGCCGGCGATCGCAGATTAGTTAGATAAATGTAAAATGGCTCACCAGATTCCTGCTCTCGTTTATTGAATAAATACCTCTCATACGTTTCGTTGGTTTCTCCAATGAAGTATTACTCGAGAAGGTCTAGGACCTTGGCGATGTCGGTCTTCTCTTCATCGTTGTTGATGTAAATATCCAAAACGTCTGGGCCAATACATGTTAATAACGTTGCTGTTCTCAGTTCATTGCTTTGGGTCTGCAGTCTTGAAGCCACTTCATAATTATTCCACATACGTTTGAACTTATTCCAGATTTCGGTGAGGTTTCCTGTGAGATCCATATTCGGGGGAAGAGGTATCGGCGCGGACTGCACTACTTGTGGCATTTGACTTGTGCTTTGGCCATTGTGCTGCGCTCGGTCCGTACGACATCACCTCGAGCCAAATATTTTTCCGTAGTACCCTCCCACTCAGTCAATAAGTACATAGTATCCTTTTATTCGAATGACCGTATTTAAGAGTATCCTTTTATTCAAATGWCCGTATTTAAGACTATCCTTTTATTTAAATGACCGTATTTAAGAGTATCCTTTTATTCAAATGGCCGTATTAAAGACTATCCTTATTTTCAATTGACGGTATTTTAAAGTATCCTTTTTTCAAATGACTTTATTTAAGAGTATCCCTTTTTCAAGTGATCGTACTTAAGATCCTTTTTCCAAATTACCGTACTTAAAAGTATCCTTTTTCGTATGACCGTATTTAAGAGTATCCTTTTTTCAAATGACCGTATTTACGAGTATCCTTTTTACAAATAACCGTACTTTTAAAATGGTCGTTGACATGTCAGTAATACATGTCTTTCCACGATAACTGGTTACTAAAGAAAAAGGTTTCTCATCCAAAACAACACCTACTTATTTTTCGAATATGATCACTGTTTCTTAGATTAAGAAGGATGTTTGCTTCTTGGAGCACTAGTTTGCGAATATACTATCAGATAATGTTCCTTTACTAGTTGAGTCATGAAACATTTTCACTGCAACAAACATACCACGATAGCTCTTTTTGATGCAGCTGTCATAGCTGCCTTGCGTATATTTGTGCACTGTCTCCCCATATTTGCACATATTTCCATCAGTAGTGACAGAAGTTAACTCTTTTTTAACTCTGTCATTTCTTTCTGAGAATATCTCACAGCCATAATAATGATATCGTTTGCTGGAATCTTGCTAACACTCTCCTATTTTCTAATGTCATAAGATTTAACTTCCTCAAACGAGTATCATAATTGATAATTGACCCTTTCTATCGTTTCAATGCTCCTCTCATTATAAGGGACCACACTACTGAGCAATAATTTACGTTCGTTTGAACGAAGTGAATTAGAACGTAACTGACTTTTACGTTGTTCTTGTTGAAGATGCTGTGGAATTTGTGTCCTTGGGGGAAGTGTTTCTGGATAAGGTTTAAAAAGGTTTTGCCGATGTTGTTTTGGACGTTTTTGCTGTATGAAGGGTTGAAGCACATTGTTTGTTTTTTTTCTGTTTTTTTTTTTTTCTTGTTGGTGTAGAAGTACTTTGGCTTTGGGCGTATGAGAGATTTTCGGTAAACCCGCTGGATTTTAGTGCTTTTTCATAGGTAGGTTTGGCTCTTTCAAATGCTTCTTTGTTGCATGAGATGTCAGATATCCTGCGGTTGATGGCTGCAGGTAGCTGTCTGATTATGTTAGGTGAGTGGTTGGATTTTTCGTTGATGGTTTTTGTTGTTTGGTTTTCTGTACGCGTAACGACAGATGACGACAACACAGACATGCTGTTACTACATCTCAAAAGCCAGCAGCCCACCATCCGTTGCACCATAGAGACGGAGAGTGAGAACAAGATCGCCTTCATGGATAACATGGTACACAGGGAACCCAACGGACGCCTTTGCACCAGTGCTGACTATAAGCCAGTAATGCACACGGACCAGTATCTCGTGTACGATTCTCACCATCCACAGTCGGTAAAACACGTCGTCAATTATCTCTATGACAGAGGTCATCGTATCGTCACGAAGCCAAACACAAAGGTAAGCAAAAAAGCAACAACTTGCGTCGGTCCTTATATCTAATGGTAATGGTTATCCTTCTCTTTCTTGCAGAGAGTCATCAAGTCCAGACCTCCCATCAAAACTGCATAACAGAACTACATATCCATCGCCGTACTGCATTACATATAAGATGTTTCYCAAACACTCAGAAGACCAAGRCYAAGGCATACGCACCATCTTCAAGTCTGACACTACACTATGCAGACAACTAGTGCGCCCAAATAACCCACTCCCTTTTAGACAACAAGACGGAGTAGTCTACGAGATCCCGTGCAGCGAGTGTGACATCGTCTAGTGTGTGACACGGTACAAGAAAGAATTGAAAGAAAATGAGAGATACGTCCGCTTACCTTGCACCTAGACCTCCACCGCCTCCGAGCACGCTAATACCACCGGCCACTGCACAGATTGGAACAACGTCGAGTAAATTAACAGACACAACCACTGGTACACACGCAGAGCCAAAGAAGCCATCCATATTAGACACCATCCCAACAACATCTATAGGGATTGCGGAATTGAGACTCCCGAAGCGTGGATACCGACCATTCGAACGCACTCCCTCACRCCAAACAARTTGGACTGGTCTCGCGGACTCGCTTTGTTCGTGATATGATATGGAAACTCGTGAATAACACGATATCAAACTCTTAACATATGATAATCTCTATGTAATATTTTATTGTTCTAGTATTTGTAGGTTTTGGTTCTACTAATGTAGTGGTATTTTCTGCTACTAATAGACCTGATGTTTTGGATCCTGCTTCACTGAACAGACAGATACATTTTTATGCACCGGAGATCAACATAACTAAATTTGTTTTTGTTCATGATGATGATGAGCGTGACCATAATGATGATAATGGTAGTGGTGGTGATGATGTTGGTTACAATGATAATGGTAGTGGTGGTGATGATGTTGGTTACAATGATAATGGTAGTGGTGGTGATGATGTTGTTGACAATGATGATGGTGATGGTGTTGGTGATGTTGATATTGTTACAATGATGATGATGGTTGTGGTGATGATGTTGATGGCAGTGAAGACAATAGTGATGATTATAATGATCGCGGTGTTGATGGTGATGGTGGTGTTGGTGGTGTTGGTGGTGATAATAAATGATGATAGTGTTGGTGATGTTGATATTGTTACAGTGATGATGATGATGGTTGTGGTGATGATGTTGATGGCAGTGAAGACAATAGTGATGATTATAATGATCGCGGTGTTGATGGTGTTGGTGGTGATAATGAATGAAGATGGTGTTGRTGATGTTGATACTGTTACAGCGATGATGATGATGGTTGTGATGATGTAATATTAGCATTATTTTTACTGTTACAAACAGGTTTAGACAAGAAAACTCGAGKCCTTCAACGAGAAGAAAAGAAAACCGTAGCGTACCATGAGAGAGGACACATCGTGGCTGGGTGTTTGTTATAGCATGCTGACCCTAGACTTCTACAGCATTATTGTCATCCTCTTCTTCTTTTTTTTTTTCTTTCTAATTTCTCATTTGATTCTTTTCCTTTTCAGGTGAGGGAAAGGATTAGATTATGCACAATATTGTCTAAAGAACATATATTTATCGTYCACAGAACAGGTTAACAAAATCCATCGTTTGTTCTTTTACCTTTCTGCACTGTTGCCATATTTTTCCCTCTTGTCTTGTCAGTTCTCCCTCATGATTCCTCTCCTCTTTTCTCCTTTTCTTTCTACATTTACTTCACTCTTATTCTATTTTATGTAAAACTGATTTGTCCTTCATGTCCTCCTTTCCTTTCCATTATATCCATACTCTGCTTAGCCAGTATTTTGTGTTTAAGCCATCCACTCCTTAACTTATTGTAATGATCCTTTTCCCTAAGCACTATCTAGCCCATACTGACCATCGTCCACTCTCTGTTGCAGCTGCTAGACAAGATGTGTATGACACTGGGTGGTCACGTGTCAGAGAAGATATATTTTGGTCCCATCACCACAGGAGCTCAGGATGTAAAAAATCGAATGGTGAAAATTTCGAATAGTTCAGGTTAAAAATCGAATGGTGAAAAGTTCGAATAGTTCAGGTTAAAAATCGAATGGTGAAAANTTCGAATAGTTCAGGTTAAAAATCGAATGGTGAAAAGTTCGAATAGTTCAGGTTAAAAATCGAATGGTGAAAATTTCGAATAGTTCAGGTTAAAAATCGAATGGTGAAAAGTTCGAATAATTCAGGTTAAAAATCGAATGGTGAAAATTTCGAATAGCTCAGGTTAAAAATGGAATGGTGAAAAGTTCGAATAGTTCAGGTTAAAAATGGAATGATGAAAATTTCGAATAGTTCAGGTTAAAAATCGAATGGTGAAAATTTCGAATGGTTCAGGTTAAAAATCGAATGGTGAAAAGTTCGAATAGTTCAGGTTAAAAATCGAATGGTGAAAAGTTCGAATAGTTCAGGTTAAAAATGGAATGATGAAAATTTCGAATAGTTCAGGTTAAAAATGGAATGATGAAAATTTCGAATAGTTCAGGTTAAAAATCGAATTATTGACAAATCGAATAACTGAGGTTAAAAATAGAATGATGAAAATTTTGAATACCTAATAAATTAAATAGCTCAAACAATTGGATTTATTGGGTTGGTAACATATTTCATTTTCTGCTATGTTTGTAATGACAGATGTACCCCTTCCACAGACTCGAAATAAAGTGTTGATTTGTGTGGTATCTTGGTGGAAAACCACTTGAAGCAGAGAAGACCATATCGTGTATGAGTATCCATGCTGCCACTAAAAGGTAAGACACAGCACATTAAGCCAGTTAAGAGTGTTCAAACCCTTCTCCCTTCCCCTACCCCTGTCAGTTATGAACTGTTCTTTACATCCGTATAATGTTTCCCTTTGTTTCTTCAGTGTCGTTACTTAAATTATTATTTATATTAACATGTTCCCATGTGCCTTGTTTCCTGTTGTGTGTCTGTTCCCTGTGTTCTCTGTGTCTGTTCCCTGTGTTCTCTGTGTCTGTTCCCTGTGTTCTACGCGTCTGTTCCCTGTGTTCTCTGTGTCTGTTCTCCGTGTTCTCTGTGTCTGTTCTCTGTGTCTGTTACCTATGTTCTCTGTATTTGTTCCCTGTGTTCTCTGTGTCTGTTCCCTCTGTTCTATGTGTCTGTTCTCCGTGTTCTCTGTGTCTGTTCTCTGTGTCTGTTCCCTGTGTTCTCTGTATCTGTTCCCTGTGTTCTCTGTATCTGTTCCCTGTGTTCTCTATGTCTTGAGCTCTGTTCTCTGTTTCCTATGCTTTCTTTATTATGAAATATATTAACCATGTGCTTCGTGATAAAAAGAGTTAATTTTCTGTTTTCTCTTTTAATCGATTTCAGCAGGTGATCGGCATGAAGAATGGCAGAATAAACGACAASAGAAATCAAGACAAGAAAAGAAAATTGTAAAGASAGAGAGGAAGGAGAAACGAGATGGCAAAAAGCGAAGAAAAACGAAAGAGAACTAACAATAAAGATTATTAGTTTTTGAAATGCGAAAAAAGAAAAATGATAAACAGAATATAGGAAAATACAAAAGAAAACAAAAAAGAAAAATGACAGAAATTTGAAGAATAGTTAGTTAAGTAATTAAACGGAATAAAGAGAAAAGAAAAGAAAGAAAAAAAAGATAAATGTGATAAAAGACAAAAAAGAAAGTTAAAGRATAAATGGTGGGACGTAGTGAAAAGGAAAATATTAGTTAGAATTATTAATAATGCCTGTAAAATATTCAAAATTAATTTTATTAAAATACTTTTAAACAAATGCAAAAAATCTCATCGTCACTTTATACCATACCCTCTAACCCCACCCCTTCCCCCACTCCCCAGACCTCTAAACCGCTTTCAAAATTATCTTGAACACGATTCTTACAGAAAACAAAGGAAATATTACACATTCCCACGAGAAAACCTGTGATATCTTGTGCATTTTCCTGTTCAGGTCGTATTCAGAATAATCGTCAGCTGCGCAGTGACTTATCAAAACCCTGACCTCACCAAGAAACAAAGAAGTAATACTCAAGGGATTGACAAACGAACAATGAAGGCACTCGTCTATAAAGTGCTAGATTCTTTGAGGCTTGATTTTTTTCGTGTCATGACAAAGAATGCTGATTATTTGAAAGAAATAAATGATGCTCGAGGGAAAGACGTGACTGAAACACAAAACGCTTGCGGCCTTTTTTCTCCAAAACAGAAGTAAACCTTCCACGGGTTTCTACTGTATTCACCCAAATATGACGTCATGTATTTGATTTCTTTGAGCGCTGTGTTGCTATGTCACGTGTTATTCCCTCGGGTAAATGTGTTATTCTACGCTTGAAAACGCTTATTCAAACTGAAATAAAGGAGAAGAAATTATGCGCATAATTTACTAGTATCAAACGGTTTGCCTGTTCTGCTTTGCTTCAAGAAATAAAGCTCCTGTTTTACACGCTGTAACTTTTAGCTAAACGTTGCGAGACAAGATTCACGGGGGTGGAACACGGCAMAATTTCATAATGAAAGTTTCGTTTGCCGGCACGAGTACATAAGAACTAAAAGTTGTTCACAAGTTTTAG